TCAAACCGGCAGGTACTGGAAGCAATTTCGTGACTTAAAACACCTTAAAACCTTAAACCCTGTAACAAGAGTCATAAATCATAAACACTAAGCCCCGCAACATCAATCCAAGAGGACCAGCCGAGCCTTTACTTGAAGCTTGAGATTTGAGACCCTCATCTCCTACAACCCTTACCTGGATCCTAAGAAACCTACAGGGTTCCTTATTATGGTTTCCTTGTATACCTCCTCAAAAACTCAGGTTGTTCGGTGGTTTAGGAATAGCACTAAAGCCAGACCTTGCAAACAATCGTTAATTGAGGAAACTACATTGAACTTTATTAGGGTCCCTAATATTGTTTAAGGCATATTCCTCAGCTCAGGGATTTTGAAACGTTTGGAGGGCAGAGAACCTTCAAGGGAAGCTAGGGAGAATAAGAGATGATTATGATATACGCTCGGTCGGTTTGGGCCCTTCACCGTAAGGATCCCAAAGTTGAACGTTCAGCTGCGTCCTCATTGCAGTTTATGAGCTCGTCGATCGACCACTCCTCTGCATTTTCAAACGCTGACTTCGGTACTGTAGGGGCCTTAGTGATTAGAATAGGGTTTTGGGGCCCATTATACCATAATCAGAATAAGGAACCCCCAGAATAGTATATGTAGTTAGAATAGGGTTTTGAGGCCCATTACACTATAATCAGAATCAGGAAACCCGACAATAGTATAGGCAGTGATTCAGGCCCCTGTAGTACTCGACCCAAAAACAAGAAATCGGAGTACGGTTTAGGTTTTGGCGCTGCTTCCCCCTTAGGGTCCCAAGGACCCATCAAAACAAGTGGGCCTTTTTTGGGGTACCCTAAATAATAGGTGCCGTATTATAATAAGGACACAAAAAGGGACCCTAACTCTGATAACCACCCAAGTGAATCCAAACAGACTGATAACGATAACTTGGCGACATTGGGTGTAGCGCCCACATGTTAAGCATGGTTCCGCGGATGTTCAACAATTACAGTAAAGTTGCACGGCCAAGCTCTACGCATGCGGGAGTTGTGAATGAAGGAAAGCGAAGCTTTGTACAGGAAACAAAGGCGTTTTGAAGCGGGCTCGGCACGTCATGAATTGAATCGAGTGAGAAGCAATGCTTCAATACAAATGCACGAAAATTGAAAATAACACCAATCAGTAACAGCCCGATGTTCTGGGCGGAAACGATGAACATCCAGTCTGGGAGACAAACAAGTTCAAGGTCAAAAAGGCAAGCTGTTGAAGCTGCACAACCAAAAACCAAAACAAACCATGCACTGACTGGACTCAAAACACCAGTTCCGGCACCGTTGACCACCACACCCTACCCGAAACGCCCCCCAAGACCCATCAAAACTCTAAACCCTCAATCACCCAGACCCTTATAAATCGATTCGACATTGTTTCCCCACGCAGGCACCGCACAGTCCCTCCGCTCCTTCCGTGCTGGCAGCGAGGCGTTAAAGTTCCTGACGGCACATCTGGATATGGCCTGCCGGGTTTGGGCTTTGGGTTTGGGGATGGTTGGGCTTCAGGTTTAGGGGTCCAGGGTTTAAGATTTAGGATTTAGGGTTTCAGGCCAGCGATTCGCTCGGCTAAGAAATCACGGGCCAGCAGTATGTTCATCAGAATAATTCTTCCTCTTAAGATTAAGGTTTTTAAAGCCAGACATAATTAGCTAATATTATCATCGGGGCGCCCTGCCCCGGAATGCAATGAAGAGTACTCCGAAAGGGGCAGGAACACAATCTACTAACCGCAGTATTGCAGTATTAGACCACGAGCCCGACAGACCCAAACCCAAGCCCTACCTAGCCCTAAGGGCCAGTAGGGCCGTGGTACGGCCCAAAGTCTAAGCAAATCGCCCGACGACCCAATATCGCCTTCTTTGCAGCCTGCGGCCGCAGCAATCGGTGCACCTTGTCGGTGGGGGTTTCCCAGGGGTTAGGTTCGGGTTTCGAATCGGTCTGGGTGCATCTCGTGGTAAAGTTATGTCCTGGTAATTGTTCAAGCCCCAAATTCATCTCCAAATCCTCCGCAAGAAGGACTGAACATCGTTAGATGTGACAACGCGGGCAAGTGGAGCAAGCATTCATTGTCCAGCGGGTCCAAGGATACTACCACCATGGAATTAATGAAGCACCAAAAGACCCTTCTAATCATGGTCTTTTCATCGTCGAAAACTCCGTCATAGTAACACATACCCCTAAACCCCTAAACCCTGAACCCCTAAACCCCTAACCCCTAAATGGGCCCTCTTGGTTGTCCTTGAGCTCTATAAGTCTAGTGGAGGAGCTTCCTGGAGAGCAGCTAAACCTAGCCGTGCGAGGTAACATCCCATGGGGAGGCTTTTAAACACATGCGACGGTTGATGACATAAATCCGGCATTACCTTAAGGACCCGAAACTATGGGAATTTTGCTATATTCCTAATTATGGGTCATGCAGGGTTTATATCATCAACAGGAGGACTCAGCCGTGATTCAATAAAGGGCTTCACGAGACTTCATAGTGTTTAGTTGTGCTACAAAGGGTGTACGTGATAGTAAAGTTCATTCTTGGGTTCCGGTGGGCTGCCTGTCAAGGTGTTTTTGGTATTGAAGAGTCTTCCTGCGCTCGCTCGAAAAACCACCACTTTAGGGTTTAGGGCGGGTTTAGGGTTTAGGGTCTGTTGTTGTGACATGCGAGCATGAACTGTAAAGCCCATTCGTCAGCCTTCAATAGACTACGGTCAAACTCAAGTGCCTCGAGCAAACCTTAAACCCTAAATCCTTGGCTCTACCAGGATCCCCCTCAAGTCCTGGTGGTCCCCAGTGGTGGATATTGGAGAAATAACGGAGGGTAGCTGGGCGGTTTCAGTCAAGAACAAAGCCTCAATCCAGAGAGCCCAATACCCCTTATTAAGGAATATAGCTTAAACCATAATATGAAGCCCTCTATAGTTTAAGCCATATTCCTTAATTAAGGGGTATTGGGCTCTCTGGGAATCCGGGTGCCCCTGCACTATGGCGCAAAGATGCCATAGCCGGTCGCGGGCGCAGTTTCAGGCCGAATCACTTCGGGGTCTGAAGTTACCCTAAGGCTCAAAAATGCAGACTTTGGGTCTCAAAACGACAAGTAGTACGTACTTCGGGAAATTTCCACAAGGCACTTAGGGTCTACCATCCATAATATCAAATTTTTGGGGCTTTCTGGGAGCTAAAGGCAACCTACCTAGCAGAGTTATCTCGGAAGGGGCGCGTAGGGGCTACTATCAGCATTCCCAGACCTTCCAAATATCTCTCACTCTCAAGGAGTATACCCTCTAATTTATACTAGGATCCTACCATAGTGTCAGGTTTCTTGCTTGGTTAAGGGGTTTTGGAGCCTCTGCGAACCAATAGGTAGCTCTTCAAGGTAAGCCTAAGATACTGAGGCTCGAGAAGCCGACCATGCTGCGGTGTGCTGGCGCGTGTGACATGCATTCAAAACCCGGAGGGTCCGTACACACTACTACTATGCAATTACGGTTTAAGGTTGAGGCCTTAAAACCTAAGAGGATTTATACACTACTGTTATGGAATTAGGAGTGTCCAGAATCCAGAAAACACTACTATTGTGGAATTAGGACCCCGTAAATCCATGATTGGAATGTTCTTCTGGCTTTTGGGGGTCTAATTTCATAATTACTTGTAGTACCTTTGGACTTTTGGCGGAACAGTCGCTACTTAGGCCCGGAAGTGCTTCACCCCGGCTCTCAGCACACTCAACCCAAACGCCCGATTTAGCATAGTCCCTGGGTTCCAAAACCCGAAAACGCAAACCCTAAACCCCTCAACCCCAAAACCTGAAAACTGAAAATATGGGAGTTTTCGAAAATAGAGGACCCTAATCTGGTGGCCTCAATAGTAGGATCCTTATACTATATAACCCCTAGCTCGGTGCCCGAAGGCCAAAGACTCTCAAGACCCAAAATAGATTTGCCCTAGCCGCCCCCACCCTACTGAAAGGACCCGGCAAATAACTCTGCAGAGGAAGACCTTCCAAAAATCCCTTAATCAAGGAGCATACCTCAACTCAAACTTGGTATCCTTATGTTGTACTACAGTTTCATGCATAGTCCTGACTTAAGGGATGTAGTTAAATTGCAATGCTCCTTCTGAAGCCCGAAGAGCCCTCAAGCCAATCCCATTTCGCGTGCGCGCTCTGCCACTCGCAAAGACCATTGCGCACTGCTCCTCGTTAGCTACCCTAAGGCTCCATGCACCCATACAGTACATACTTAGGCCTTAAAGTGGTTTTCCTAAATAGCTACTTTAAGGCCTAAGTGAATACTGTATGGCAACAGGGAGCCTTAGGGCTATATGTACATGGGAGCCATATCCTTTGTGGCCGGAGTTCGCATCGGGCGAGAAGGCTGCTAAACCCCAAACCGTCTGTCCCTAAACGGTTTAGGGTTTAGGGTTTGCTGGCCTTCTGTACATTCCTAGGATGCACAACAACCCAGGAATAAGAAGGGCTCCGTTTTCGGTATTGGGTAACTTTATGGGGAACCTAGGACTACAAAAAGGGAATAAGGGTACTACTGGGCATCCTAGAAACCGTATACCCCTAAACCCTTCTGAGCACTACTGCGAATGATGCAAAAGCTTGTCTCTAGATTTTTAGATTCACATGCAGCAGTCCCGGGGAATGCCACTACTAATTGTGTAGACTTCCATCTTCTTATTCACCGAGATCTATCTTTACACAACCTTCCAAGACCCCCTATTATAAAGGACTGCCAATACCCTTGTGGAACCCCTGAGGAGATACAATTTTGAATCATGCACCCTGAAGGAGCCCGTTTTCAGGAGCCCTCCAAGAACCCTTATTCCCTTTTTGTAGTCCTAGGCTCCTTGTAGAGTTACCCAATACCAAAAAGGGAGCCCTTTTTATTCCTAGGTCCCTGGGCATCCGATTGCAGGAGCCCTCCAAGAACCCCTTCAGAAGCCTCAGTTGTCTCCTCCAGCTTATGCCTGAGCCGCTTTCCATGCGCGACCGACGGAGCCTGTGCGGGCTTTTCAGGCTTGGATACTTTGATGAGGGCTACTTCAGATGAGGGATACTACAAGTTTCACTGTCATACTGGGGCTGTTGGGCACGATTCGGGTTCAGGTTTTAAGGCTTTCGGGCTGCTAGCCAAACGGATTCAGACTAGTGCGAAAATCTTTGCTTTGTTTCGTTGGTTGTTTTTTGGTTCTGTTAGGGCTGGGGCTCGGGCTGAATATTTGGGGATTTACAAGAAGAGTTATTACTATATTATTACTAGTATCATTATTATTATTATAGGAGTTGTCTCTGCTGGAGGGCATTGGCCAATCCGGTTTAGAAAATTCCCCTGCGGGCTTAGGGGCAAGTGGTCCTCGAGTCCTAGAGGCGTATATAGTGTGCCACAACTGTATAGGGACACCGTTACATACACATATTTCAATAGAATATAGTAAGCCCTGAACTGCATGCCGGCCAGCACTATCACACTTAAGGCCACTAGCCGAAACCTTCAAGATCAAAGTGTCTGGATGCGAACATGTTGGTCTGCAGGTAACAAACACGATAACAACACATATCCATAGTAACAGTAATTGAAAGGGCTTCGACAGTAACGATTGTGGTGACTTGAGTGGCTGCAACAAGAAAAACATAAGAAAGTTGACTAATATCGCACGAATAACGCAATGCTGATGAGTCATGAAGTGTAAATCTATAGGGAATATAAGAGAACACCCTCTCCCTAGCCCCTCTACTATATACTATGCATCTGAATCAACAGGCCAGAAGACAATACCACACAACCCCAGAGCCCTTGATGAATCAGCCCCTTTGCTTTAAAGGCCCTGCCAGCTATTTGCATCATGATATGCCCTAAACCCTAAGCCGTAGTTATGGGAGGTTTTATTTACTGAATCATGGGTCTACAGTATTTCGAACACCAAATTCCCTACTTCGAGACTCTGGGGCCCTGGGCAAATATGCTCTGAGTAGGCTTTAGGCGTTTTAGGTTTAGGGTTTACCCAGAGGCTCCAACATAGTACCTTTTTAGGATTACCTTATAGGATTCTATATATGAACCGCAAAAGGAACTACTATGGAGCCTTAGGGTAGGTATGAGTAGGGTTACGGCTAAGGCTGCCGTGATCATGAAGGGAACAACACATCTAGAGACTGCGAGAAGTCCCGAATCAAACCCAGAAAGCCACAAGAAGTAACCCTGGACTCTGAACCATACAAGCCCTCAAGAAACCACAACAATATGCAAACGACAAGACACGATCAACATCCTAAACACCTCATAGCAACCCTACAAAATCAAAACACCTTATTGCACCAAGCCCCCAAATATCTCTTTTCCTCTGACCCAGGATTTACTGCTGCGCCCTAAACGTCCCTAGACCCGACTAAACTCCAAATCCCTGCTAAGCTCCAAACCCAAAACCATACATCCTAAACTCTACCTAGAACCCTCCAGGCTAAACGCTAAACCCCTAAAGCCCTACCCAAAATCTCCCAAACCCTGAACCCCTAAATCTACTAAGCCCCTAAGCCTAAATGCAAGGGTTTGAGGTACCCTATAAACCTGTCGCCTGACGCCCGGTGCTACTTATTTTGCTCACACTCGGGCAAGAAGGGGCTGCGCAAATCCCTTATGCTCAAGCTTATGCAAGCATATGCAGAAACGTGCTAGGCATAGGCTATACATCCTAACACCCCTCCATGGCACGTGTCCTTTAGGGATGCTTGCCAAACCGTGGATGTAGCCTCGTGCTCTGCACAGAGGTTGGCGGGATATGTTCTCAACCGCCGCAGTTCCCACACGCAGTGTAGCCTCTTGCTTGGGCTTCCTGGGTGGGAAGGCAAACTATGCTCGCAGGGTTTAGCCTTTGAGCACGACGGAGGTCACCACAGGAGTTCTTGTGGTAATGAGTTCCTTGACCTGTCACAAAGACGCGTCTGTCCGGAGTTGGCCTGTTGATCCGGTGCCTCGCTCCAGTCTGATGCGAGGTGGCCCCTCCAGGGCCTTCAGCTCGAGGTGCGGGGCTTGCCGCCACCTGTGGAGCCGGCGTGGGCGCACCCACGGCTTCCTCAGTCCTGCCAGGGCGTCCCCCGACATCGTTGACTGTTCCGATCTGGATGTTCACCAGGTGCTGAGCGGTGTTACCCGCGTCCAGAGAAGTTAATCCCTTTCCCCCTAATATTAAACCGCTCCCCCCCCCCCCTAATATAAAAACTGGAATTCGGAGGTTTAGTTTTTATATTAGGGGGGGTTTCGGGTCCTGCGGGTATGAGTCGGACTCACAGGAATACTTAATGAGGCATCCACGTAGTTAGTAAATAACTAATTACAGTCAGACAGTCAGACAAGTCAACAGCGAGCAATTCCTGCGCAGCCGTTCCGGCTGTAGACAGACCAGACAGCCAGCCTGCCTCGTTTGGGCAGACCTCAGGCTCGACAGTCAGTCAGCGACATTTGTTGTATTGATTAAATCAATATTTGCTGCTCGGCAAGCCATTTTGGCCACGCCCAGACAAGACAGGAGAATCGGAGAAGCAGTCCAGCCAGTCATTGCACGACATCTTGTTGTGCTGCAACAGGACAGACTCACGAGACGGACTTGACAGGCTCGACAGCCAGTTCCGTCTTACTTTCAGCCATCCAAACATTTTGCAGGACCAGCAATGTCAGCTGGACCAGAAGCCCTGCAGGGCATGTCGCAGACAGACAGGGACCGGTGGAGAGAGAGTTGGTTTTGTACGGTAAGTAATTAATTATGCTGCAGGACAGTCTTCTGCAGCAGCTCTTGAAGCAGACAGCTCTGCTCACCCAGCTGGTGTGTGCCCCAGCAACAGAAAGGCAGCCTTCTCAGGCAGCCGCTTCTCAGCAGGCACCTGCAGAGGCAGTTCTTGTAGCAGCGGAGACAGCAGCGCCTTCAGAGCCTGAGACTGCGAGAGAGAGAAGACAGAAACGGCAGGGAGAGTCTTTGCTGAAACTAGAAGCAGAGGCAGCCGAGGAGAGGAAGAGCACTCCCAAGACCCCGCAGCCAGCCTTCCCAAGACGGCAAGACAGCTTCCACCAGGGGCCCTCGAGACAGGACAGCCAGAAGAGCTTGGGGTCTAGCTCGGCCAAGACGCCAACCCCCAGGAAGCTGTTTCAGACCCCAGTGCTGGCAATATCCAAGGCCTCCTTCAGCTCGCTGGCCCTCTTTCGTGCACCCTGCACCGGCGGAGGCACCGATCGAAACCAGATTGGCTGAGCCTCCCGAGCCACAGACTTGAGGGTCACCCTAGGATTGTGGGATCGCCTCTTGCGCCGCTTGCGCTCCTTCTTCCACTTGATCCGCTCGTAGGGCTATTTGGCTTGGCCTCCACCAGTCGTAACGGTGGGCTTCCCGAGCTCGTTGCCTTCGCCTTGGCCTTGGCTTCACCGGCGGTATAAGTCAATACCACTCGGCGCGGGCCGGCAGCCGATGATGAACCCCGGCCCAGGGATTCACCGGCCTCGCTGCTCTCTTCCTCGGCCTCTGCCCTGTCAAGGGCCGAGGCCAGGCGTTTCGCCTGTCCTCTCTGCTCTCTCCGTTGGGTGGCCTCTGCAGACCGTTGCCCTCGTTTGTTTCTTTTCTTGAGAAGGTCCTTGTCCTTGGCCTTGCCTTTGGACTTACCTTTCCCAGGCTTCCGCGCCGTCTTGGCGCTTCCTTTGGCACTGCGGGGCGGCCCGCAAGTGCCTATCCCAGAGCGGACCTACCCGCTTCTGGGGCTCCGCGGGGCTGGCCCGCTAAAGCGGAGCGCTATTTTGCTCACACTCGGGCAAGAAGGGGCTGCGCAAATCCCTTATGCTCAAGCTTATGCAAGCATATGCAGAAACGTGCTAGGAATAGGCTATACATCCTAACACTAAAGCCCTACACTCCTGTCTTATAATACAACTTCCTGTAGAACCCTTCTGGGTAACCGTAACGTTAAGGGAGCCCTAAACCCCTGAAGCCCTGACCTCTAAAGCCCTACACGCCTAAACCCCTGTAGATTCCTATAGAACCCTTATGGTACCCATTTAAAGGAACCCCTAACCCCTGAAGCCCTGACCCAAGGGCACCTTTGGGTCTTTTGAGAGGCCGGGAACTCTCCTCGTCCTGGAGAGCCTGGATTGGGCTTCCACGAGACTCACCAAATCCCTTTGAATACGGTTTAGGGTTTAAGGTTTAGGGGTTTAGGGGTTTAGGGTTTAGGGGTTTAGGGTTCAGGGTGTAGGGTCTAGGGTGAGGGGTTTAGGGTTTAGGGTGCAGGCTTCTTTTTTTGAGCTCCTTTTCTGCATCGCCCGAAAGGTCTGCGAGGCTTCAGCAAGCCAGGAGGTCTGGACAGTAGGGCTTAGGGTTTAGGGCTCTTTCCAAGATATGTGTCGTAGGCTCGGGAGACCAGTCTGACACCCGCCCTCAGTCTTGGCAGAAGATGAGCATGATGGCTGCTCCCGCTTCGGTGTGGCATTCTGCGGCACCGTCGGCGAGGCTTCCGCATTATCTCCAAATCCGCCTGGCGCTTGTTCCCCGCCAACTTCAGCCCCGTCTGGAGCTGGACTTGCTTCTGCAAGTCCTGCAGCAGTGAGAGCTCAGACACACCCTTACTTCGTTCATGGATGGTCCTGGATCTCACTCTCGTGGATCCTCTGGAGCTTCGCCAGGTTCTCCTCGACCTTCGGCAACTCCTTGTGGTAGGCTGCCTGGCGGCCATCGGGCTCAAAAAAAATCCTTCTCGGCCACGGTGCCCTCATGTCGAGCTTGGTGTAAAGAAGGGCCTGAGTAACTCCCTTTGAATATACAGGAGTTTCCGACAATAGGATACCCCAGTATAGTACCCTAAATAGCAGGATCCTTATTATGAGGACCCCTAAGTAAGGTACGACTAATTTTCGGAAACTCCCATACAGGCTTTGTAAGATGTATAGTGCACACTAGACAGTTGGAACATGGGTTTAGGATGACTGGTGCAGGGATACGCTATATTTACCTTACGGGCATGAGGGCATTGATGTTCCAGCCCTAAACCCTGAACCCTACCGAAACCCTAAACCCCAAACTTTCCCTGAACCCTAAAACCTATTCTGGCTTCTACTGTACGGGTTATAGATTTGAATCGAGGCCTTGGTAGTTAGGCCTTCCGTGACAGATCGGTGGTCGTGGCAAGTCATCCTACGTGTCGGGTATCATGGGGAACTAAAGGTTAGCCTTTTTGGTTCTATAGAGGTTATATAGGGGCTATGCTACCCAAAAAGGTCAAAAAACTAGGTCATGATTCGGGTTAGAGTAGCTTCGGGCTCAGGGCTTAGGGTTTGGCTTTTGGTCTTTTGGTGCGGTGACAGCCACAAAACATAAACACGCTGCAACACCCCTCAAACATCCCGACAATCTCGCCCGCGAAAACACCCTCCAAGCCATTGAACTACTGCTGATGAGATAAATCCTGCATTGTCTTAAGGAATTTTTCACTATGGGAATTATTGTATACTCCTCAATTATTGTGGGGTAATGCAGGATTTATACCATCAACCGCAGAATCAGAGTTGGGATACCGAAGACACCAATAAAAGGAAAACTGCGCACAGGAAACTTCCGGGTTTGTGTGGTGTTTGTAGGCCTTCAATCCTGCACAAACCGCGTGAAGGAATCGTTGACACTGCGAGTTTAAAGCATTATTGAAAGAGAAAGGTAGGGGGATAGGATTGGTAGAGTTTCCCGACTTCTATACATGGGAATAATGGTATCTTCCGCAGCCTCATTATGGGTAGTGCAGGATGTATAGCATCAACCGTAGTACCTAATGACATTGGGCCCAAGGGTAAAAAGGAGGGATCCTTAATAACGACCCCTAGGTATATACCCTTAATATAGCTATTATATACTCATTATATAGTCCACTATAGGGTAGGGGTCCCCATTAAGGGTCCCTCCATTTCCCCTTTGATTGGAGCCACCTCCCTGTGCGCTGACTTCGGCAGTGCTCCCTGTCCGAAACAGGACCATCAGTCGCAGTGGGTTTAGGGGTTTAGGGTTTTAGGGGTTTAGGGGTTTGGGGGTTTAGGGTTTTAGGGGTTTAGGGTGTTAGGGGTTTAGGGGTTTAGGGGTTTAGGGTTTAGGGGTTTAGGGGTTTAGGGTTTATATAGGGTTTAGGGTTTTAGGGTTTATAGAGGGTTTAGAGTTTGTCCTTTGACGGCCTCTGAACACGTACATATGAAATACCACGGGCAGACTACCTGCAGAAATCGTGAACATACAAAACATAGCGTTCAATGGACACGTCTCGAATGTTCAGTAGTAAGTGATCCACCATAGTTCCGATAGTTCAGCGTACTTATTTACTTCAAACCATGCGGGATCTTGTGCCATTCAGCCGCAGAGCATAAACATATATATATATATATATATATATACACACACTCATCTATGTACATCTATACATGTTGTGAACTATATACCTATGTGTGTATGTATATATATATATATATATATATATAGGCACAGTGTATGCCTAGGTCTTGTCAAACAAAACCTTGTCAACAACTGCCGGAGCAAAAACAAACTCTTGTTGATTCGTCACACGATTCATCGCTGCCACTGATTCTGCAACGTGCCGCAGAGCTGGCATGTTCCAACAATCGGAACCCGAAAATGTTGTTCGAATCCGAAAGTATTGGTGATGTCAACGGAGGTGAACACAAGTTTTCAAGCGCAATCTGGCAGGACCCTTCCTCGCACTCACGGCGTAACAACCGAAGTCTCCACGACTTCCGCGAACGAAAAGCCTAAGTCCGATTCGGAGTCCTCGCATAGAGCATTTCCCATGGCTTAATGTGCTTTTTACTGCCATGCACAGAGATCACAAAAAGCCCCCCGCCCCCTGCCTTTCCCAAGAAACCCCCAACATCAATCCTCCGGAGCCCTCTAAACTCTCACCATGGCTCCGTCTCTAGACTCAAAACCCTTAAATTCGCTAAGCCCGAAACCGTGAAAACCCAAGGGTGGAAAAGGAAATTGAATACCAAGGGTTCTGTGCTTTCCTTTGAAGCTGCAGCTTGAGGTCTTAAGGCTTCATACCTAATCCCCGCCCGAAGAACTGTTGATGGACAAAATCCTGCATGCCCCTAGAGACTCTAAACTATGGGAACTATGGTATATTCCTCATAATGGGTAATGCAGGATTTTGTCCATCAGCAGTACGTAACAGAATGGCCTAACAGTGATAAAAAAGGCTATTTTATCCTACATACTTTTCGGGTCCAGGTAACGCCTAAACCGAGTGCTTGTTAGAGGTTCACGGACTAGGCTTGAGGACTAGAATTGGTGATTGGTGTCGGGCATAGGGGGCGACGACAAACACTCATAATTAACTATCTGTGGGTGATGTGTGTGCATGTGTATATATATATATATATATATATAGGGTCTCGGATCGAGGCTGGACTAAGATCCAGCTATAGCCGGCGACCCCAGGTGCCAACAGTCTTAGGCACGCACTGCAGCCATCGCGCTCCGCAAGGTGCCACCGTCTCCCGGCTCTCATCGCCGCGCCAGAGCTGCAAGATCGAAGGCCAGAAAGGCCATCCACCAATCACGGCAGAGGCGAACTCGCCCGCCGTCCAAGGCCCTGAAGCTATTAAGCTTGCACCACACTCGACCGGCCTATCGCGAGTGTCAGATGGTCCGCACAAAGGACAAATGGGCCGACAAGCAGGGCAAGTACGAATATCAAGATTGGTCCTCCTCCTACTGGCCACACAAGGGCTATGGCAAGGGCCAGGAACCTCCCTCAGGACGTCGTCCCCGCGGTGGCCGCCCAGATGCAGTCCATTTTCCGACTTTCGAGGAGATGGAGGCTCCAGCATCTTCGAGAGCACCACCCAAGCGAACCGCCCCAGACATGGACGTGGAGGAGCCCAACAACGACCTCTCCAAGAACGTGCAAAAGGTGATCAACAACTTACGCCGAGCGGAAGGTCGCCTACGCCGTGGCACAGAGGAGAAGCAAGCCCTGGACAGCAAGTGGGCCAGCTTCCAACGCGAGATGAAACAGAGTTTCATCAAAGAAAGGACCAAGTACCTCGAGAAAGTGCAGAAGAACAAGGAGGACATGGAGGAGCAACAGCAGGCCAGGGAGGACGCCATTCAGGACCTGGCCCTTACGCTCGAAGGGAAGGCGATCTCCCGTGCGAGCGAGGCTGCACTGGAGGACAACAAGCAAGCCGAGCAGGCATGGGACGAGCTATTGGGGACAGAGGAGCCGGAGGACGACCTCTCAAGTGCTCTTCATGGAGTTGTGGCTCAAGGAGGTCGCATCAGCAGTCAAGCCCGACAAAGGATGCTGACTCTACTCCAGAGTCATCTTCATCCGGACGCTGCCCCGCTAACACCGGCCCGCCGCACTACAAGAAGTACAGAGATGACTCCTCTGGTTTCCAAGCACAAACAACCTCGAGCAGCGGATGGAAGCAGGGCCACAGCTGCACAGGCATCCAACGAGCCTACGCCAACCTACACGGACGGCAACCAGCTAATCGAGGACCCCTACATGACGTCTCCCTCTACCAACAAGGGACTCCCTACTCCAAGAGGACCTTCGAGACACAGATCGCAAGCTCGCACACCCATCAAGTCGGTTGGGAAGGAGCCGCCTCCTCCCCCCACTGGAGCAAAAACCCTCGCGGACAAGCTCGAAGAGAGGAGGCTCGAGGAACTCCACAAGGACAACCCCCCCAGCGAGGTCGCCGTCGACGATTCGGAAGAGGACGATGTGATTGCGGATCTCAATGCGCAGACGAAACACGATTTGGAGTAGCACCTCGCGAACCCGGAGCAGTCAATTATAACATGTTGGAGGCCGCCATTTTGGCAGCTGGGCTTTTTCGGTTTGTCCCTGGGCTATTCCATCATGATTGGGTCGGTGATCTTCATGGGTACGATGATCACAATGTTCGTTCTGACAGCCTTTCATGTCTGTCAGATGTGTGGATGTACCACACACAATCCTCTCTTTTTCGCAGATGCTATGCTCCAAATCTGCTGGGTGCCCTGGACTGGATGCAGGATTTACTTAGTCTGGGCTTTCATAGCTTCGCTACCAGCTGGGCTACTTCGTGTACGACACTGGGCGACACCTTCCGGCTCCTGCTGCTCTTGATTGGCTGCAGAATTCTCTTCTGCTATTGCCAGAGACGCAAAAGCTGTAAGGGCCCAAGATGTCTCCCTACCGGGCCTCCTGCTGCATTCAGGATCATCCTTGCTGCAGGGATTATCGGTACCTGCACTGCGAGTCCAAAACATGTTGATCTCGGACATCAACTCCCGAGAGACAGCTGGAGGCGGGCAACAGACCTTGAGCTCTGGGCCTCTGGTCAAATGACGGCCCATGAGCAGCTCCTGCAGGCCTTCCTTAGGCAAACAGCCAACGCTCCGCTGCATAGTGGTGGTCTCATGCCCGCCCACCACTTCCCAGACGGACCACCAAGAATCGATCCGCCTCCTCCAGAGACCCTCGTCGATCTTCAACCTGACCTCGAGCAAGCCCCTGATGAGGAGGAATTACAGGCGGAGCACATCTCCTTTTGGATCGCCTCGCCGGGCCTCCTTCCTGAATCCTTGGATGTGGCCCTGATGTTCCCTCTCACACTTGAAAGGATCCAAGATATGATCACAGAATCAGTACGAGGTCTAGACACTGAGTGGCTACAGGACCTCATTGAGGTGCAACCGCAGGTCAACGATGACTATGCAAGCTTCCTGTACCTCCCTTCTTGGGTGAAGCACTCCACCCTACGGACAGTTCTATTAGATGGCCGCAGCTTTGGCAAGGGCATCTTCCCTGTCTACTTCGATGGTCCCGTCACCAAGAGTCGGGTCCTCAGAGCCCTCGAGCTCGAGCACTCAGATACAGCGGAAGTCTATGTTGGTGGAGACCTTCTGCCGCTTTCTGGCACCTATATACAGGTCTTGGAAAGAGGTGCAATTGTCGAATGGGCCAGCGACTTGCAGACCCGGCTCGACAGCCCAACGTCCTGGGATCCTGATACTCCCCACCCGGACATACGAGCTGGCAGATACATCGAGTTCCAGACCAGCTCGCATGAGTTTCTTCATCTGGCACGCCGCTCCGACCCCCGCAGCCCGATCGAGGTTGCCAGCGAGGCCTTCAATGTCGAGCCAGCAAGCTTCTGGCTGAGGGCTCCCACTACACGGCCTGTGAGACTTTCCAGGGCTGGCATGCAAATCCATTCGGTTATTGCAGTTGTCGACCGTGCCACCTTTGCCAGGGAGAACCATGGCGTCATAATGATCGACCTTCGCCCCATTGGACAATGGATACAATGGCTAGCAGTTCGGGACTACCGCTTCCACCCCGGACAATATGTTGAAGCTCTGCAGATTCAGCAGGTGCCGGGCTTCACGATTGTGGTTCTTGGAGGGAGAAAGTCACGACAACCAGGCTGGCTCAAGGTCGAGGATGGGGAAGTCCTTGAAGTAAGGCTTATCCCAGATGCTGAGGCCGATGTGTCCTCCGCTACCTCTTCGGGATCTGGAAGTGATGGCGATGAATCCAGCTCGGGGTCTGATGCCCTACCAGCCTCATCCGAACTGTCCGACCCTCAGCCTTCACAAGGCCCTGGCCCCTTTGGCCCCCCACGACCGCGACCTGTCAATGATCGTAGTCGAAGCCCTCACAGAAAAGAACAAGGCGAGGATGAAAACACAGACCGGCCAACAGCCGTCCTTCTTGCTGAGATGCTCCCACCACCCAGCTTTGACATCTCAGCAGAGTCCCTGCGACTACCTCACACTTCAGCGGAGCTCGCTTCACTCCGGAAACCGTGGCCTCCAACCTGGACTCTCAGCCCAGGCTTCGATGATGAGGAACTACCTGCCTCCTCAAGAGAGGCTCTGAAGTCGACTACCAGTTGGGCTCCGCTGCTCGCCGATATGCAGCATTCTGCCCCTTGGTTTGAGATCTACACCG